CTCTCTCTCTCAAAAATAAATAAACATTAAAAAAAAAAAAACATTTAGACAGAGATGCCTGTTATTATTCTTATTATTTAACATATCTTGGATGTTTTTACTAAATGCAGTAAGTCCTTAACCACATTTACATTTTTGTCAAGTAAAGTAACATATTCACAGATTCTGGGGATTAAAGTGTGAACATTTTGGAGAGGCCATTATTCTGCCTACCATGCTCTGTCTATAAATTAGAGCCTCCCAGAGCCAGTGGACTAAAGTAATGAAGTTGGATACAACCTGGTTTTCAGGGTCTCAGAAGCCTTCCTTGACTTCTTGATGTGGGCTGGACTTCACCAAAATTTATACAGATGAGCCCCTTTCCACACAGCAAATTCCTCATTTGCTGTCCTCATCGCTGGGCTGCCTCCTGTTATCTACCTTTACAACCGAGTCCCTGTAACAAACAATGGAGAGGCCAGGAGAGAGCAAGAAATGGGCTTTGGTGTCTGTGCTCATATGATATAATGGTTATGGAAAAGCTGAAATGAACAGCACTGGCTTCTCAGCTCTTAAAAGGCCCCAGGCTCTCCTGACATTTGGGCAAGTGGAGGCACAGTACGAGTTTCAGGCGTCCTTTCTGATATCCAATCTTGAAAGGTAATGTGAATGTCAATATTGCAAAGACACATGTGGGGAAGAAGGATCCCTCTCTCACACCCTATTCACAAAAGAAGGCATCGGAAGGGAAAGCAGAACGTCATAAGGAGATGTGTAACCATCCCCACAAGAGCTAAGGAGGACAGAGACACAGACCAAGACTGCTTAAGTTGTCTATGCCATTGTGGATGTGCAGTTTAGCTCACTCCAGGTGCATTTGGGGACCTTCTCTCTTGAAGCCTCTCCAAGGTCCCATTTAGGCAGCATATCCATTGGTTCTTTTTTTGAGCACATACTGGAAACTTGGTTTGGTATTTCACCTGGCCTCCAGGCCTTGCTCGCTTGTGTATTGGTTCTGAAAATGGGGATGTTATCTATAGTTTATTGAATTCCTGCAGATGTTCCTGCAAAACGGATCTATGTACACACTGCCCCACCCCCATACACCACAGATACAAGTACCCTGACAGCCCCCACCCACCCATGCCACCAGCTGCTCTATGTGCTCCCACTCACTCTCTTAGGCCCCACAGGCCCCCAGGGAGCCACCAACACACACTGTCCTCTGTTATCTGGAGGAGGTCCTGATAGGGTGACTGGGGGAGGGGACAAGGTTGTTGGAAACTTTAGTTAAGCAAGGACGGTTAACAGCTGCAGGGACACCTTAGGAAACAGTGAGTCTTAAAAAAGAAATACTTCTATAATCTGTCCCCATCACCTTTTAAGACTTTTCTGAAAATGGCCTCTCATTCCCTGCCATGAAAAAAAATAACAGCTCTCACAGGCACCCTTCAGCCCACAGAATCCTCAGAGCTTCGTCCTCCCAGCAGCCCTTGACATAGATGCTCACCTCACACAGATACCCCCATATCCTGCAAAGACCAGGGGATGCATGTACACACGTGCACACTCACACACAGGCAATATGCCTGCCTCTCCTCAGGTGACAAACGTGTTTTTCTACCTCAGTGGGCCCTTTGTGTGGGTGGGCTGTGGGGTGCTATTGGGCAGAGCTCTCAACAGACCCATAGGGCCCATCACAGCACGCCTCCACACACTACTAGTCATACACTACGGCTGTTAGCATGTGGTGAGGACCTCCTTCCCCTTCCTTTTTCCTCCCCACAGAGGTGGCAGTGTGTGAAGAGGTTCTGCGGGGGCAGATGTCACCCACTGCAAGTGGGTTTTTTCCCACCTACATACCTTGTCTTGTTCCAGCTTCTTCCCACCTGTGGAAGTAAGCCCTTTGGGGTCACATCCTGGTAAAAGAACATTAGGGAGCACCTTTGAACTACTGTTCGACAGCCCCTCCTCCCCCACTGGTCTCCCTCTCAGCTAGGCCCTTGGCACCCATGAGGGCCTCCCAGCCCCTGCTCTTCTCCCACGAATGCCCCCTTTTTCCTTGGGGCTGGGTGTAAAGGGACAATGTTGAGACTCTTCTTTAAAGGAAGACCTTTAGAAGGAAAGTAAGAGAAAAAAACTAAAACCAAAACAAGAAAATATCAAAACCTCAGGTTCAGAGTCCGTGCACTCAGGACCCAGCCGTGCTTTGTTTCCCTGCCTCCCTTCTGAGAGAAGCTGCCGCCCTTCTTCACCGCCACACTACTCCTTTGTTCACCTGCTCCCTGACCCCCCACAAGGGAGTATATATGGTCCGTGCTGCAGGCTTTTCCCAAAGTGCACAAGCTGTGGGTTGTCCCTCATCCTCACCCCCAGCCCAGGCCTATCCCCAAGCTTCTGCCTCCTGGACTCAGCTTGCTGGATCCAGCTCAGATGTCCCAAGTCCAGCAGGGGGCAAGACGGATGGGGAAGGGGCTGATTGGCCAAACATGTAGTCAGAAGGGAACAAGGGTCCAGAAGGCCAGGGAGAGTTTGTGAAGAGGGAGTCTGGGGGAGTTTATAGAAGAGAAGCAGTGTGGCCCCAGATCCTCTGCATCCTCCAAAGGGCTGCTACATTCTCAGGAAGGGCTTTGGAGTGAGAACCTTCCTATGTGTGAGATCCTCAGAAGCCCTGTAGGACTACAGCTGGAGGGGAGCTGAGTCTACCCTGAAAGCCCCCAAACTGATAAGGAAATGAGCCCCACCAAATCAAGGGCCTCTTTCTGGGAACCTACATCTGCTAGGAACCGCAGGATGAGGAGGAGCACGGGCTCCAAAGTAGGATACCCCGGTGTGATGGAGAGGATGGAGTTCCATTCTGGAGCAATGACTGGGGACATCTTCTGTGTTTAGTTGGGCACAAAAGAGCTCTGACAACACATAGATAAGCCCGTGCACAGAGCAGCCAAGAGAAGAGCATGGGGCAAATCAGGGTAGATGATCAGGAGGATAGGCATTTAGAGCCCAGTACTGCCCAAATGGGTCTGGGATGCATGCAGGGGGAGCACAGGCAGGACACAGGGACAGGCCTGAGTAGTGAGCCCTGACACCTCCAGCCTCTACCCACATGTTCTGGACCTCAGTTTCCCAGGCTGTCCCTCTGGCAGAGGCTTAGGGATGCCATCTGCTTCACTGAACCCATCTGTCTGAGACTTGCTCACATCTTCCTCTTTTGTAACTGGAAGTCACAGGGTAAAGCACTAAGCTGTGCAGTCACCGAAGGAACACAGAGCCTAAGAGTGTGAAGGGACAGAGGGGAGAGTGTCAGGGGAAGCTTGGGGCCAGTGGAAGAAGGGGGAGAAGGGTGGGAGCAGAGGTGCTCAGGGCCATGGCTGAGGCCATCACCTATGCAGACCTGCGGTTTGTGAAGGCTCCCCTGAAGAAGAGCGTCTCCAGCCGGTCAGGACAGGGTAAGGGTAGAAGAAGCATCTCCTTGATTTTGCAACCTTATGCTCCCTCATGACTCTACCCCACCTCCACCTTTTCTCTCCTCTCCTGCCCCAGAGGCTGATGAGGATGAGGAACTCACCTACGAGAATGTACAAGTGCCCTCAGTCTCAGTCTCAGGTG